AGGAATATCAATAAAAATTAGCACGAAACTGACAATTTCGATCTACAATCTTATTCATATCGAATACAATATACAATCTTCCTCCGGTACTCCATAGAAAGGTTAAAATGGTCGGGTCGGATAAGTTACAAATCGAAACTTTGAAAGCTAGAGTTACTAGAAAAAGGAGAAGACGTTTTCGAAATGCTCTCATTTCAGTCTGCCGAAAACAATGTTTAAAATATACACGTCCCGTTGATAACTCATCGCGGAAGGGGTGCCCAGTTAGAAATTGTTTCCAATAATTTCATTGGCGTTTTGCAAACGAGAGTGAAAACCAGAGGGAAAACCTGACACTAAAATATTCAGTACCTCTCCTCACCAAAAGGGACTCGTCATACTCTCTACAAATGGAATTCAAGTGGAGACAGTAACTATAAACAGCCAAACTGGTCGCGACAAGGACTCTTTCTGTATCCTGTACAAAAGCGTGGGAAACAACGCCTATTAGTAATAGACTCTGGTAGATCTTTATGACTACGAATTAAGCATTGAGTATATGAGCGCCCTCTGTCATCGAAATTGACCACAGCTCTTCAAGATTCATCAAGCTGTGCTGTGGAGTTTTTCAAGAGATCTAAGAATTAGGTTAACTGTCTCTTAAAATTATTACACGACCGGTTTTCCCCCGAAGGTACGTCGGCACATGGGAGGGAGACCATCAACAATTTCCTCGACTGAATCGAATGGGTAAAATAAATTAGCCAAATTTCAAAATGGCGGAGGTTCTTCTTCAATTTATGATCGATCCGAAAAGTGAAGAATCAAACGAGTTTTTGTTGTGGATTCACAGGGCTGCGCCTCGCGAGTCCACAACATTTTGACCACTGTGATGACGAATATCGTTGTCGATAGAAGTACAGTCCACGCTAAACAAATGTCGGATTGTTAAATCATCGAGTGTCACGAAATCAATTGAAAATATATTAAATAGATGGAAAACTTTGGGTTCACGGTGCTGCGCTGTTTCACGTTCGGTTATGATTTATTTTAGTCATTATTTTGGCGGGGATTTAAAATTCTGCAGTTTGCATTATCATTCTTAAACTAAATCAACACGCAGTTGGGGGTTCTTGATCGTTAAACGATTGAACAAAAATCGTTGACCCTTGTCGCCTATATATCAACCTGGAAACCACAATAAGCTGAAAAAAAATTGCAAATTTTTACCACGGTTTCAAATCAACGTATTTAAAACGAAACATGGCATGTGCAAGGAAGAACCTATAAGACCTAAACTGCCCGCAGCAAACCTGCTTTACTTACAATGCAAAAAAAAATGTATAGTATTGCATTATGCACTCTGTTCAGTCGTGCGTATCTCAGCTAAGAGAAAACATATAACGATGTCGTTATCTCGTAAGCTTTTCGTTCAACGATGGAGTGTTTTTATTTATTTTCCACGATATGACAAGACCTGTAGAATGTGCATATTTCTCATTGACGTGGCTCTGGTATCGTAGTAACAGGGTACAGAAATTTAGTATCATCAACGGTATTATGGTAACGTAAACCGGCCACCGTAAAGAGTTTAAAAGCTGACGTTTCGAGCGTTAGACCTTCGTCAGCCCGGTGTCTGTTGGCAAAAATTTCGTTCGTGAAATTTATCTCTCCACGAGAGAACGAGGCACCATCTCCATTTCGGAATAAAACCGAAAATTTGCTTCGATCAAAAAATGCACTTCCAACACGTCTCTCAAACTAATGGAATTTATCTTCTTTTATCTTCTTTTATAACCCTTAGCAGCCAGGCCCTTGATATGATATTGTTTGTGCCAATCTTGAGTGGTAAAAAAAAGGATAGGGTAAAATATGGACTGGACTATTTTTTGGACCATATTTTGGGCCATGTTTTGGACCATTTTATGGGGGGGGGAACACCCCATTAGTTCTCAGGGAGGGGTGCGATGCAGTCTATCGTGTTTCCCCCTACACTTCTTTCGGGCTCCTACCGCTTCTTAACTGCTTTACAATAGAACAGTGCACAGTCAAAACTTCCATATATGTCAATTAATAATATTATTAATATTTTATTATTTTTATTTTTATTGATACTATTATTGTTATTGTCATTATTATCATTATTATTAATATGATTATGATTATTATATGAAATCCTATAGCAAGGCAAAATCTAAGAGCGAAGCTTCCTTTACGAGGCCCGATATATCAAGAGTTTTTATTATCATCATTATCATTATTATTATAATATTAATTACTAGTGCCAGAAGCCAATAGTAAGTACTGTATGCTTTTTTGCTTAGGCATACTGATCAATTCTACAATATTGGCGGGCAACACTAAGTTTCTCGGCAATCTGTGACATTTTTTATCGCCTGCTCTGTAGGAAATAATTCACAGTGATTGCTGTGCCACCGCGCCTCCACACACGGCTGGGCTACAGAAACCTTTCGTGACAGGTGCGACAATAAAAGTCATACTGTGATCATCATCAAAAATGGCCAGTTCGTGTTTGGAGGATACAACGATGTTCCATGGGGTAAATATAACTTTCCTGAAACTAAAAAACAACTATGCTCTTATTTTGATGTTTTTGCTTTGCTTTCTCTTCTAACTGTTAGTGTTATTGTTATTGCTTTTTCGTATTATTTTCTTTTTTTCTTTTATTTCTACACTCCTTTGAAAATCGTATCATTATCCTTTAACTAAAGCGAGAACTTTCATGAAACTAAAAAACAACCCGCTGCCCTCTCAATACTGAGCCTTTTTATGGGGGTCCACGTTTCCGGTACCAACATTGACGACGTCATTATTTTATGAGAGATTTTCTTCAATGTTGATATTCACTCCACTCATAGTGCAACAAGCAAAAAGAAAAAAACAACATCTTCTATATGCTTAGATTTCAATATTTTATAAACTCGTTTAGCTATTTATATATTCATTAATTGATTGATCGAATCAACTTGAAATGATCTGACAGTTTATTATATGATCTGTTCGGCAACAAGCGCGCAATTATTAAAAAACATCAAGAAAAAAATAGGTTACGAATGAAAATAGAAAGGAGGTCCAAACGTTATGACCTCCACCCAAAAACTTTCACTTCCGGTCCTCTCACGTAGTCAATAAATACATAGCATGTGCAAGTCAGAAACAGGCACCCTTTACCCTTGGCTGTCACTCTAATTGGTAATCACGCGCTTGCTCTTCAGATACTAAAGGTGACTACAAAAGCACCAACAATTCGTTCATACTCTCTTTACGGAACAAAGAGGAATTATATCCATTTAAGAGCATGGTGTTGTGGCCACAATTTACAATCTTCGGCGACTCGAGAAAAGGTTCAACATTTGGAGCCGCCTGGGACATTTACATAGCGGACCACGCCAACAGCAACATGGAATCATACGCATTTCTTGGAGGAAACAGGGTTTACGAACTACCGGATGGAGTAGGGATCAACGTAAACTCTTGACTGGTACAGATAACTTCTCACCTGGGGACTGGGAAGTATTTCATCTTACTTAGAATACCTTTCCGTAGCATCACTGTCATCAAAAACGCTTTTCTGGACTGTGTTTCATTTGAGCGCTACCCTGCGAAGACTATTTACATCCTACCGGGTTACCTACAATAGCACTAGAAAATTAACTGATCTCGTAGTTTCGGCAGCACCTACTTTCTATTAGAGATGGACTACTTGGCTTGTAATTATCTGCTTAGTACCTTGTCACTGTAAATTAATTTGCTAAGGCAAATATCAGGGATATGAATGACTGTAAATATATGAAAATCATATATGTTACCTGTGATTTAAGAAATGAATTCGAAGGCGATCTTCGCAGTAATGAACACTATCGCAGAGGTTATGGATTATAATCCCGAACGGGCCTGAATTTTTTCAGGCCTTATTTTCACTACTGCTTAAGTAGTAAAAAAAAAAAAGTGCGAAGATCGCCTTTAAATTCATTAGGGATATGCTTTAAAAACAAATTATAGTAATAATAATAGAAATAATAGAGATGATAACAATTAAGATAACAATAATAAATAATATCAATAATAGCGATAGCAATAATCATGACAACAAAAATAATGATAACAATATTAATAAACAAAATAATGAGATGGTGTTATCGATATTGACGATAGCAATAATATAGATTCTTAGCGATAGTAAGCTATGAATTAAAAATAAATAAAAGCTGATAAACAGGAGCTAGCTGGTGACCTTATTTGAACAATAAAATCAAATCATTCAGGGGACCAATAATTTTATAAAACAAGACATCGTTCTTATCAAATACTGTATGTAGAGGAAGAATTCACAAAAAACGTCAGCGAAAAACGTAATTTCAATATTGTTATCATTCAATCTAAACATTATTCATCGTGCCACTCTGCAGGAAGCCTGAGCTTCAAACTCGTGGTCAGTTCAGCAAAAATTTGAAACTTTAAAAGCTGAAGGTACGGAAAAGGTGGAAAATGAGAAGAAGCGATTTAATCAGACAGCTCAATAACAGCTCAGGCTTCTCTTGTTTTCGCCGATAAACATGTACTTTATTTTTATATGAGAGGATATACACCACAATACCTGATTTCACCTTTATACAGTGTTTCAACACACCACACCGTGCCCTTCAAGGATTTTTGTGCGAAGCTATTTACGGTATAAAATAATACCGAGTGACTGGATTATGCAAGTGCCGTTAGTTTTGTTAAACCGTTTAACAAGGATAATATATGCATTTTGGTCTGATGGAGACAGGTGCTCAAATAACTTACTTAACGCCACTAACCTTGACATTTAATTACGAATAACCTAGAAACCGTATTTGCGTCATTTAATTAAATTTCCTTCTGGTCAAATAACAACGAATATTTTTAAACTATTCCTCTTAAAAGCCACTTTAGTGAATAATATTGCTTTGATAAAGCCATCCGGTCAATGCTGTTATATCGTGTATTATAACAATTCAACCTCTCAAAGAGAAGATATGGGACTCGGCGTCCAACTGAGACTTGGAAAATGTTTGTATTTCCTGGTCTGCCTTTGTGGTTGTCTTCATACTTCGCAAGGTACTGTAAAGTTTATTTTCTGCGATAATTTGAAATTTCGTTCGTTATTTGTGATGGTAATGGCGTTTAGCAAAGCTGGGTCACTAGCAGTTTATAAAAACTTCGTGGACCCTTTTTTTTTCAAAGGTCTCAATCGAGATTCCTCAGAAGACGTGTTGTTGATGATGATGGTAGAAGAAACATTTTCTTACTTGAATATCAAGAAGATCATTTCAGCTCAAGTTGAAGACGGTGACGAATGTGGATTTGCCTGTGCAGCCAACCCAAAGTGTTTTTCGTGCAACTTGGAGGCTAGTATTTCCGTGACCGGAACACGCCGATGTGAGCTGCTTCCATCAGACAAGTACAACAATTCGGACAAATTCTCCAAAAACGATAATAAATTTCATCATTACAGTATTTGTGTAAGTGATCTGGTTCAATATTATCTAAAATTTTGCGTGCTGTAGGAGAAAAGCCCCAAAGGAAAATAAATTTTAATCAAATCGAACAGGTGTTATAGAAAAAGTGCCGTATTGCGAAATCATACACGCCTTAAATAATACCTTAAAAATCCTTTCTGCAGAAATAAATTTATCGATTAATTTTAATGAAGGAAGAAAATTATTTCAACTTACATGGTTGAATAACTTCGATTCATATCCTCTGCAGCTTGTTTATCTCGACTTCGTTCCCCTTATAGTGGCCGTGTTTGAAAGCTTGGGTTAGGTTACTGACCAAAATAAATTTTTAGTAATTACGATATTGATTAGTGCTTAATTTTTGCTGCCGGAGATAAATGAAAACGAAAATGAAAATTCGATGTCTGTGTTTAGGCGAAAATTAAACTGCTCTTAGTCTTTTAATATTGTTGGCAAGCAGTAAAGGAACTCTAAAGCTATTTCCTAACCTGAATACTTAAGCCTCGCCAAAATGATTTTGGTGATACTAAATGTGATCCTTCGTTGATCGTTTACATGACAAAGAGTTCATTTTTCTCGAGAATGATAGGGAAAAGAGCGGGAGAGGGGAGGGGGTAGGGGTGGTCAGTTCTCTTTCTTCTAAGAAGTACAAAGACTGCAGCTGGACCTTCGATTTAAGGGTTTCTGTATTTCCCATTCAAACGACACTCAAAAGTAAGAGGGGAAGAGAGGTTCTTCTTTTCATAGGTAATCTCGCCATTTTCAGAACTACATAGACTGAGTTTCCTGAGGCTCTGCTTGATATCTTCTTTGCATTGGTTTGACCTAGTTTATGGTTACGTTTGTTCGCTTGGCTAAGTCATTAGTTAAGAGCGCTGGTCTTTTACGTGTTACCTACTCATTGTTTTTCCCTTGTTTCCTTCGTAGTCTCCATGCGCCAAGGGACCTTGCCAAAATGGTGGGACATGTGTGGCACAGTACTATACCAAAAGTTATATATGTGTTTGCGCCATCGGATTTACGGGAAAAGAGTGCAAAACAAGTGAGTCTACCGCAAAGGAATCAGTACTCAGTTGAAATTGATTTTTCCTCTTATATTTACTTTAGCTTAAACGAAACACAAAGGCTTAAGCATGCAAACGACATTTTCGTCGAAAAAGAGAAAGGAAGAGCCTGTTAGGACGCAGTTGTTTTCGACTCTGGCCTCCTCCATAAAGGTTTCAATGTCTTGACATCTAGACAGTTAAGTGTGTCGATCGGCTTCATCTTTGTTTCTATCTTTAGTTTTCGAAAAGCTTTGGACAAATGTCGAATGTTCAAATTACTGGAAACTACATCTGTGCGTCATCGTCAATATTTTACTAATCCTTTCCAATATGACAGGTTCTTCATTTCGAACAACAAAAAAATTATGTGTTCGTTGCCGAACACTCTACACTCAAAAAACCATTGCGTCCTCACGGCGGTTCTTGTTCTAGACCGCTGATCAGAGACTCCGTGCACTCTCGCGGGCTGCGTAACTCTTCCTAACAGCAAGAATAGATTTTTCAACCCTTATAGGGACCACAAGAGCCGCAGAAGAGCTATTTTGTAACAGGTTTAATGCTTTTATACCTTTTGTACAGACATCAACGACTGCAAGGATGATCCATGTCTGCGTAATGGAACCTGCATTGATCGACTCAATAGTTTCGACTGCGGTTGTCCGTCTGGATTCGATGGTCCTCGATGTGAAAATGTATCAGGTAAGGCTTACACAACTCTTTAAGAGATACAGGGATAATACTATGGAACAGCTGCAGCGATTTTGGGCTTGGAACTACATAAAAAAGCTTTTCAAATACAGCGTTATTATGAATTTACTCTGAACTGATAATTGATACAACGTTCTGACTTATCCTACACCTATGGTCAGTCGGCCAGTTATACAAGATATTTTATATTTGATTTGATAGGATATTTGTTAATTTTGTGAATGTTTTTCAATTCTATAATTGTATTATGAATTAATGATAATTTCTAAATTATCATTAAGAATTATCATGGCCGTCAAATTGTGTTTCCTTTTGGTTCGTCTGTTAGCTTTCACAGTATTTTGGGATGCATGAAATTTGCAATCTGCAAACTTCACTACAAATCATAATTGATGAAAAACTCTATTTGTGTCAGAATGACTTTCATAATCTTCACAGTGTGACATCGTTGCCATATTTCACAGGTATTTCTATCAATTCTACAATTTTGTCAAATATCGGGGGCTTTCTCGGCAAGCTTTCACATTTCCTAGCACCTGCTGTGGGAAAGTCTTCACGGTGGCTGCTGTGCCACCGCGCCTCCAAGCACGGCTGGGCTGTAAGCACCTTCCACATCAATTGCGACCATAGACCAAACACTGTGACCATCATCAAAAATGGCCAGTACGTGTTTGGAGGATACACAGATATTCCTTGGGGTAAATAGACTTTCATTGAACTTCGAGCTCATTATTCCTTTAAAGGCCAAACTATGCATGTAAATCAGTCTCTGATATTTCCACTGTGCGGTGTTCTAGTCAACGGCCCTTTAACCACTTCCTTACACAGATAAGGTAGTAGTTTAAATTGTATCTACCCTTTTGTTCTTTAGATTCTTCTGGTTCTTATGGCAACACTCGTCGTGCGTTCATATTTTCTCTACGGAATAAAGAACTGCATCCATTCAAGAGCATGGTCAAAACGGGAAAAAATGCAATTTACAAGGATTCGACGCATGGTCCAACATTTGGATCTGGCAGGGACATTTACATTGCGGATAATGCTAACAGCAACAATAATTCATTCACGCTGCCTAGCGACTTCGAGACACCAAAAGGAGCAAATGAGCCAACCACAATCTTGGCTGGTACACAACACTTCTCACCTGATGACTGGGAGGTGTTTTATCTTGGTTAAAATACCTGTTCATCAACTACCTTGCCATTAACAACTCTTTACTGGGCGTGTGATTCACGAGATAGTTTCAGATATCTGCTAGTTTCAGCACTACTTATTTACTATCCTAGATCATCTACGTAGATGACTTCCATTTAACTGCACTGAAAAGCTTAGGATACTCCTTGTAGATGAAATTCAACAAGCGAAGGGATAGATTAAAATATACCTTAATAATTTAAAGTAATGATAATGATAATAAAAAAGATAATATTTACAATAACAATAGCAATTATGATGATAGTAATACTACTTGTACTGATAACAATACTACTACAACTACTACTAACAGTGATAATAATAATAATTATAATAATTAACAATAATAGCAATAATAGTGAAAAAAATTATGATAAAAATGATTGTAAATATAATTGTTAATCATGTTGTGATAGCGTTGTCGATATTCAAGATGGCATAATTTCAAATTTTCAGTTAGCGGTAATAAGCAAGTGGACTTCTCCTGTAAACAATGCTGTGTACCTGGAGCTAAATATGATGACCCAATTAGAACACTAGAAATTATGTTATTTGTCTCGGAGCCAAGAATTTGATATTGTATACAAAGGATGGAATAACAATAGAAAATTTGCTTGGAACAAAATTTCGATCTTCAATCTTATTCATATCGAATACAATATACAATCTTCCTCCGGTACTCCTTAGAAAGCTTAAAAGGGTCGGGTCGGATATGTTACAAATCGAAACTTTGAAAGCTAGAGTTACTAAAAACAGGGGAAGATTAGAAGAATTTCTTTAGAAAGGCAGCAGATAAGCGAGAGCTTAAAATCCATCACTGATTAAAAAAATGTACCCTCTTCCTTCCTCCCCAAATCAACCGAGTTGAAACCACTTTAGCCCTTAATATTCGCACCTGATTCAACATCATTGTCGTAGTTTAATGTTAGAAGTAAAAAGAATAAAGGGGCTTCATGCAACGAAAAGAGCTGATATCATAGAGCTCAAACTCAAACAAAAATAAAATGCTAACGAAAACGTTTTCAAATGTTCTAATTTTCAGTCTGCCGAAAACAATGTTTAAAGTATACGCATCACTGATAACTCATCGCGTAAGAAATTGTTTCCAATAATTTCTTGGCGTTTTGCGATGAGAGAGAAACCAGAGGGAAAACCTGCCAATGAAAGGACTGAAATATTCAGTTCCTCTCCTCACCCAAAAGGGACTCCTCATACTCTATGCAAATGAAACTCAATATCAAGTGGAGACGGTAAATATAATCAGCCAAACTGGTCGCGACAAGGACTCCTTCTGTGTCATAGCCTGCTTAAAAAAACTTGGGAAACAACGCCTGGACTCTTTTAGATCTATGTGTTCACGAATCAAAACTTTTATAGGCCCCCTCTTTCTTCGAAATTGACCTCAGCTCTTCAAGATTCATCAAGCTGTGCCTTGGAGTTTTTCATTAGGTTAACTGTCTCTTAAAATTATCAGACAAACCGGTTTTCCCCCGAAGGCACGTCGGCAGATGGGCGGGATACCATCAACAATTTCCTCGATTGAAACGAATGGGTAAAATGAATTAAGAAAATTCAAAGTGGTTGAGGTTCTTCTTCAATTTATGATCGATTCAAAAAGTAATGAATCGAATCAGTTTTTTGTTGTAGATTCACAGGGCTGCACCTCGCGAGTCCACAACATTTTGACCACTGTGATGACGAATATCGTTGTCAATAAAAGTACAGTCCACGCTAAACGAAAGTCGATTTGTTAAATCATCGAGCGTCAATAAACCATTTGAAAACATATTAAATAGATGGAAAACTTTGGGATTCGCGGTGCTGCGCTGTTGCTCGTTTTTATGATTTGTTTTGGTCAATTGAATTGAATTAATTGTGTCATTAACTTATAGTGGTGATCGAAAATCCTGCGGTTTGGATTATCTCTCTTGATTAGTAAAATCTTGAAAAAAAATCGTTGACCCTTGTAGCTGGAAACCACAACAAGCTGAAAAAAAACTTGCAAATTTTCCCAACGATTTCAAATCAACGTATTTATAATGAACCATGGCATGTGCAAGGAAGAAACTATAAGACCTAAACTGCCAGCAGCAAATCTGCTTTACTTACAATGCAGAAAAAAATGTTCAGTCGTGCGTAACTCCGGTAAGGGGAAAAATATTACGATGTCGTTATCTCGTAAGCTTTTCTTTCAGCGATGCAGTGATTTTATTTATTTTCCACGATGTGGCAAGACCCGTAGAATGTTCATATTTCTCATCGACGTGGCTCTGGTAATGTAGTAACAGGGTAATTTAGTATTATCAACAGAGTTGGAAACGTAAATTGGCCACCGTAAAGAGTTTAAAAGCTGACGTTTCGAGCGCTAGACCTTCGTCAGCCCGGTGTCTGCTCAAAGAGATACCATCTCAGTTTCGTTAAACGTTCTCACAGATAGTTCGGTTAATCATCATCCACGAATCCAAAACAGCTGGAGCTTTCTGGGGTATGATACCTCTCGTATCAAATCACTGGGATAAAACCCGAAAATTTGCTTCGATCAAAAAATGCACTTCCAACACGTCTCTGAAACTAATAGAATATGATATAATATTTATCTCCTTTTACAACCCGTAGCAGCCGGGCCCTTAAGATTGGGGTAATTTGATACCGTTGCTGTTAATCTAGAGTGATAAAAAAACTAACCATGTAATGCAACATTTTTAAGAGATTGAAAATTAATCATTGTGGATTGCAAACGTCTCCAATGTGCAACATAGCATGTTGAATAGCGCGTGGAAACCTATCATAGGACTGTTTTAACTACCCGAGGCTATCATCGGTTACGATAGAGACATAATTACGTAACCATAATTTTTTCATCATATCTAAGTCGTTCTATTAAGTCATCATAGACCAGAAATGCTGTACTCGCTGTTTTTATTTTCGATATATACAAAATAATAGTTATTACCATTATGTAAACTGTTGATTTTCGGCCCTGAGAAATACCAGAATTACATGCGTATAAAATTACAATAATTTCCCATGTGTGTTTAATATCGCCAATCACTTCCTGACGCGTCTCGCCTTTAAGGTCTCTAAGGTCTGCATAACAAACAATAATACATGGTTGCTTGTAAATATGGAATGACTTCTTATGACATCTTTCACTTGGTACGTGTGCTAAAATTGGTCAATTTAGTGGGCCTTAATTCGCTCTACAAGCGGCTAAATTCAAAAGTTAAATTTGTTTGAATTCAAATCTTCCCTTCAGTTTCTGAACCTCGTTTTTATAGCTTGGATTACGGCCTTATAACCGATTTTCCGATTTGTCACGAATTTTTACGCTGATTTTCGGTCATACTTGAGACAAATTTCTATCTTGAAGCGCTTCAGACGTAAAAGTTCAGCCGGAACAACAGACTTCCCCTTGATACGCCAGAGAAGCGTGGTTATATCTGTTTCAGAATTATTAGTTGACGAAATATGTTTACCCTTGTTAAGAATTTTATTGTCTCGACTGACGTATTTGTCAGTAATATATATCCTGTGTTATCGGCCTAAACATCAATTTACCACCGTGAACTGCATGTTTTGTTTTATGCGTTGATTTCAATTTATCTCTTCATAATATTACAATTTCTATTGAGACTCCAATCAACTTCCGTTATCTTTAAACGAGAAAGTGATCTACGCCTTTCCTTAAAAAACTCTATAAGATAAAGACCTAAATTATTTATCTTTTTAAAGCGTGGTGACAAGTTCCTATGGTTAATAATTAAAATCCCTCGCCATAATTCATGAATGTGTATTGCAAATGCGGCGTAACACTTCATTGCGGGAACGAAAACATTAGTAGAGAACTACTCTTACATGCATGCATCTTCTGAAATTATCTTTCGTTCTCGACGAATTGTCTTTCAGGTGTCAACGAAAACGCCCCAAAACTTCTTGTTTGTTTGCACTTATTTACATAGAAGGGGAGAGAGAATAAAAAATTATGAGCAAACCAAAACCTAGTGTTATCTGAGCGAGGACTTTGGCTCTGATCGTCAGCGTCAGTTGGGCTTTGTTGTCCACATGAAAAAACGATCGACCCACTGTGAAAGGAAAACACTTGTTGGGTCTAATAGCTTTGATAACTTGCGCTGTGTCTAGATATTTCACAACATCGATTGCCTTCCGCCTTTTGCACGACTGTGAAATGCATAAAAAGGAAGTTCTTATTCACCCTTTCGAAATTTGATAAAATTAACGAAACCTAAAACAAAATACAACCAAACAAAACAAAAGCCAAAACAAACGAAAAGAAAAGATAATCCTTTATGAAACTTTCATGAAACGAAATTGAGGTAGAAAGTTCAAATTGTGTGACACTTCTGTCTTTCAATTGATAAACAGTTAGTATATTTATGGCTGTCAGTACAATTGAGTTCTACGTAGCCATGTAATTTTGAAGCAACGGCGAGCCAAACATTACCGTCTCTATGATATTCAAATTCGCTTGCTTCGGTTTAGAATTATTCAGCCAGATGTGGCATAGGTGTTGCCCGAATGTAACATCTACTTCACCTCTTGTTAAGAGTTGCTTCCCCCGTACTTTTAAATGCTATTTAGACCCGTATAGCAATTAAGCCACTCTCTTATTAAAAAAGTGTCGAGGGATCGTTTTTGCTAGTGCAGGTGGTTTTGTTAAATCGTTGAGCAATAGTCATGATATCGACTCTTTAGTCTCACGGAGACAGGTGCTTCAAGGACTTCCTCTGAACATTATCAGTTTACAAATTACGCAAAGATTATTATATGCTGTGGTCCAATGACATAAACTTCTGGTTGAAATAATCCTTTTTAAAACCGCCTCACAAGGCATCATAACTCATAAAGAGGCACCTGGTTACCACTGTCATATCAAGTTTTCTGACAATTCAAGATATGGAGCGCGTTCGCATTAAACTCCGATATTGCCTGCCTCTACTGGTCTGCTTTTTACGTTGCCTTCATACTTCGCAAGGTACTGCAAACTACTTTCTACATTTTATGTTTTGTTCCATATTTTGCTTAATTTGGGGATGTAATAGCGATCAGCAGAGCTATGCAAATGACAAAATCATTTTCGTTGTGATAGGTTATAAAAAAGTTTGGACCTTTTCAAACAAAGGTCTCTATCAAGAGTCCTCAGACGAAATGTGGATGATGAATATGGTGGAAGAAACGTTTTCCTATTTAAACATCAGCAAGATCAATTCAGCTGAGGTTCAAAACAACGGCGAGTGTGCGTTTGCCTGCCTAAAGGAACCCATGTGTTTTTCATACAACTTAGAGGCAAGTGCCTCGAAAACAGGAACACGCGTATGTGAGTTGCTGCCATCAGATAAGTACAACAACTCGGACGAAGTCATCATCAGCCAGAAGTTTCATCATTACAGTATTCAGGTGAGTGATCTGATGTTTAACATTAAAAAAAAATTCTACATGCTCTGGGAGAAATGCCCCTGGGGTAAAGTTTATTCAGACAGATGGTTATCAATTAGAATTTCAAAACACACGCTGAGGGGCTCGCATCAATCCTGTACGAATAAATTGAAACTTATGTCCCTTGAAGCATTTCTAGCTTCTTGGGTGCTCTCCAAACCTCTCAAGTGCTTCATATCTCCATGGACGCGCCACTGACCCATGAACAGATAACTTTTACATTTCCCTCGCGGTGGTTTGAGTTTCCGAAGCGGAATTCCCTCTCGCCTTTGCTTCAGAGCCTCTACAGTCGCGTCCTTTGCGTGTTCAGTCAATCAAAGTCATGTTCATGGAATTTTATTTGACTGTACAAATTCACGGAGCGCAAAACTTGCACATAAAGTAATCCTCCCAGAAAACATATGTATAAAAGACATTTCGCGCAGAGAGAATATTAAAAATAGAGAAAAAGATTCATTGTTTTAGTTCTCAGCTAAGTAGCTCCATGAGTAATAGCTGACATGAGATTATTGTTCTTTAGAAACGTGCAGACACTTTGGCGCAGCTGGACAAAATCAAATCAATATTATGGCAAAGGAATTGGAATTATATTTTTAAGTAGACTTGAATATATGATCTTTCTTTCTTTCTTTTAATTTTTTGGAAAAGAGAAAATTTTATTGTATGGCCTTAATGGGTATCAATAATTCTATGGCCATTTGTCTCTATTTTAAAATTCTCGCGTTATTAAAATGACCATTATTCTGTTTTAAATGAACCTTTTTCAAGAATAATCCTTCCTCGATCTTTTTTTATGATTAAGAAGTATTTACATTCGATAGGGAAGGGAAGCGAATCATTTTTTTCTATAAACAAAGGAAGGGGAACTTACTTAACTGACAAGAAGATAGACTACTAAGATATCCAGCTGGAGGGTGACTCAGCTCCTTCAAAACCTTAGAGAAGAGCAAAATCTCTTTTTGTGCGTGATTACCATCTTTCCTTGGAAAAATTTGCCTCAGATAGTTACCGCTTGATTTCTGTATTACACTAATTTGTGCCTGGGTTGCACTGGCATAAACAGTTACATCGTAGTTTCCCCGTCAAAGACCTGAGATGAACATGAGTTTGATTAAATACTAGCCTTGTATAAATACCGGTTCTGAAAAGCCCGGCGAGTTTGCAATGAAAGCTCGGTTTACAAGCACGCATCATCGACAAAATACGGGACATATACAACTTAATAGTTTACTGAGCAGGTTTTCTATTATTTCTGAGCAAAGTTCATGAGTTGTTGACTCATTGTTTTACTACTAATTTCATTTTAGACACCTTGCAGCAGAGGACCCTGTCAAAACAATGGCACTTGCGTACCGCGGTACGAGAAAAACACTTATGTATGCGTTTGCAAAATTGGATTTGAGGGAAAACATTGCGAAAAAGGTCAAGTATTTAAATGTGCTAGATCAAAACTTCCCCACCATGTATTAACAACTCCATCCGCGCTCCATTATGTTACTTTAACGCAAGACCGATGCTTTAGGCAGAAAGTTTTACCCGAAAAGCAGTGCGAAAACGTCGGAAACTATCATGAAAATAGGGGAGGCCAAAAATGCCAATTCCTTGAATAAAATCTAGACCTTCGGGATCAAATTGCACGGGAAGTGTTGACGCTAATGTTACGTGACAACCTTAAATTATTATCAAAATAAAGTTCGGATATAACGCGCGCTGTCATTGGTTGAAAGAGCGTGTGCTGTCAGAGTACAAAACACGAGGCTGAGCTAAAGCTGTCACGCCATCTGCCAATTTGTACTACGTCTCGTGTTTCCCCCTACACTTCTTTGGAGCTCTAACCGCTTCTCAACTGCTTTACAACAGAACAAAACACAATCAAATACGAGCAATAAGCAAAATTTCCTCTCGTATTGTGTGTTAAACCATCGAATGAGGGATTTATTACCCCACTTTTATTTCACCTTTAATATTTTGATTGGAGTTTGCGAAATACATCCTACGGCCTTACCTGTGCATCGTATCGATTGCATTAGGAGTATGCGATAGACGAAAACAACACGGACGAAACAATTTAAGTGTTCTATGTGACCAACAAAACATCTGTCTCGCTTGAAAGTGCGTTTCTTTAAAAGTCAAGCCTGACAAACGCAAAAAAGAAAAATCAAAGTTTAAATCGTTCAGTGCGACCACAGTGTTGCTTTTTGTTTTGTTCTACAGTGCAATATCGTCTATTAACGGGGCATATTTTGTGCACTTCCTGATGAACTAATTCAGGTGCCACTGTCCAAACTTCCACCATCTTTCATGAAATATCAAAACATTTCGCCATTGATAAAGCCACATGCTTGAATACTCAAGTACATTTTTATTTTCAGCTGTCTCAAAATGAAATCAGTACAAGATTCTGAATGACCCCGATCGACACAGCGATTTGGTCACGGCCGAAACTGCGATAACAATTTGACAGAAGACACAAACACGTCAAGAATGAAACAACTTTTGAACAGTTCATCTCTTTTTAAGATTTTTCATTTAGAATACTAAGGAGGCCTGATCAACACTTTGCAGAATTATACCAGTAAAATTTATGAGAAACGCTATTCTCTCAGCAGGTATTATATTTATTTTAGTTCCTTCAATTAGCAGCTAATCCAATCAGTATATGATGAAAGACGATGTAATTTTGATGCTTACACCAAGTGATTGTTGTTGAAGGTAGAAGTTTTGTAAAACGTGTAATTAAGTGCATCTATCGTAACTTTGCGGTGTCTTTGACTTTCTCTGTCGCTAGAGATCCTAGAGTTGTTCTCAATAAATGCCCTTCTGAAAGAGGTTGGACTTATTTGTGATTCATTTATTCAAATTTGACGGATAATTTTAGAGAAAGTGTCACAGCTCCTTTGAGGCCTCGAGCTGTTTGTCACATAAATTCCCGTTATCGTCAGCGGAAAAGGTCATAGGGAATGCCGAGATCGGCTTACAAATGGAGTGGAGTCTCTTATAACGGATGGGGGAGATAAAGTGTTCACAGGCATTTTATAGAAATGCATTATTCCAGTTGGGGAGGGCCGTTCCATCTTACATAATATCGTATTTCCCCGTTCTATTTGGCTGTCAGCAACAGCAAATTTGAGTTCAAAACATTTCAAGGACTGAAGTTTTCCAGAGTTCTTTTTGTGCAGTGACCTTGATGACATTTGTGGATATAAAATCCTCACTTATTGCTGGCTGTCTTAAACGGCTATCTTAGACTTTTAACTATTGCTGGTTAAAATTCCAAGGCCCTAACTCATTCCTGAAAACAAAACAAAAAAACTTGATAAAACGGTTTACGTTTAATAATTTGAATCAGAGCTGTATTTTCTCTCTTCTTTCCCCATTTCTTTATTCTTAGCTCAGAATGTTCGGATTAATATCAGTATCTGGGCAACTGCTCAACTACCCCTCCCCTAACTCAACAATAGTCAATTGATAACAAGGTGGGGTTAATGTTGGGTTAGGGGAGGGGTAGGTGGACAGTTACCCAGATACTGATATTGATCCGAATGTTCAATGGAATGAACCTCACGCAAACTGCATTCTCGTGTGTGATAAGTAGAAATAAGTGCGTGTGAGTGCGTGATGTCTCGCAGTCGACGGCTCGCGGTTTCGACCTGACTAAAGATAAATAGAACTATAGGTAGGGCAACTGAAAACTCCTCTGACGGTATTTAATTCTTCATATTCAAAACTTTTTATATGTGGCATATTTAGAGGGCCTGGTTATGTAAGGCTTTGCGTAATAAAAAGAGTAATCTTCACGAGAAATGTTATTCTTTCAGCTTGTATTGTACTTGCTTTAATAAGTTACTTCTGTCAACTGTAAAAAGTGATAGTTCTTTCGTGTAGAATTCTGTAAAGTGTGTAAAATAAATTTCATATCCCTTCTCTTGGCGCCCTCTTTGACTTGTCCTGTTTTTATTGAATGCTTATCAAAATAATATCTGAGAATAATTTGACCAAAATTTACAGGGAATGTATTACACCTATTTTGAGGACACGTGTTACTTCTATTCCAATTTCTTGTTAAATGTAAAAGTTGCCAAAAGTTTGGAATCGGCTTATGCATGGAGCAGGAGTCTCTTATGTAGGATTGTTGTGAAGCTACACTTCCAATTATTCAATAACGTTGATTTATTTCCTCATTGGGGGCCTATTCACAAGAAGACATGAGCAAACAAAAGCGTTTAAAGGATGGCATGCCTAGAGCTGATTGCTGAACTGTTGTTTTCTACCAGCAAAACAGAAGGTCAGTTTGATTAAATTTCCTAAACTGAAGTGAGCCACAGAAGAAAATAAATAATGACTATTGTGATATCACCCTGGGGCGTTTCACTGACTCGTAATCCCATTGAAAACCATCATAAAGCGAAAGTGTGTGGGGCCGGATGGGTTGAGCAAGAAATGAGTTGCGTTTTTCAATAAATCATGAGTTTCATGCTGTGACTAAAACAAATAATGGTAAAGTTATATTTGATGTGTAGGTTGGGTTGATGTTGGTTCTTGTCGTTGCTGCGAGGGTTTTCTCCGGCCTCCGGTTTTCGTCCCTCCACAAGAACAAATATTCTAAATTCTAATGGAAACAGTGGAAAGAAGAGCCACCTCGTGGAATTTCTACTGCTAAATTTCCGTATAATTATTATCATCATTATTATTATTATTATTATTATTATTAACAAAGAGGTTTGCAAAATGCTTTTAAACTCTAGCTCCATAATCCCCTTCCTGAATAAGAGACTCCATTTCATCTTGCTCTCTCTAGTCTCTGTAAAATGCACCTGATAATAAAAAGCATTACCGTAATCGAAAGACAATAGCGCTGCTTGACGACAAGAAGCTGAATACAGAACTTAAACCTGGAATGAATAAACTTAATTACTCATTTGAAAACATTGCATGTGGTCAAATGTCATTCTTAATTTTCCCATAAATTTACCCTCGTAATGTGTTTCATTTTCTACCTTGATTTCAATTTACTTCCATCATATTATAATTTCTTCTGTGACTCCAATCCTCTTTCGTTATCTTTACAACGAGAAAGCGACAAAAGCCTTTCTTTGAAAACGTTTTTAAGATAGAGACCAAAATTATTTATCATTTTTTTAAAGCTTGCATGGTGACAAGTTCCCATAGCCAATAATTAAAATCCCTCGCCATTTATCATGAAATGTGTATTGTAAATGCCGCGTAACACTTCATTGCGGGAACGAAAATATTAAGAAGCGAATTCCTCTTACATGCATGTCTCTTCTGAAATTATCTTTCGTTCTCGACGAATTTTCTTTTAGGTGTCAATGAAACCACCCCAAATTTTCTTGTTTGTTTGCACTTATTTACAAAGAAGGGGAAAGAGAGTGAAAAATTATGAGCAAACTAAAGCTAGTGTTATCTGAGCGAGGACTTTGGTTCTGATCGTGAGCGACAGTTGGGCTTTGTTGTCCACATGAAAAAACGATCGACCCACTGTGAAAGGAAAACATCCGTTGGCTGCTTTGAATAACTTATGCTGTGTTTAGATATTTCACAACATCGATCGTCTTCCGCCCTTTGCACGACCATGAAATTAGTAAAACGGAAGTTTATGTTCACCCTCTCGAAATTTGAC